TCAGGGAGAAGACCACCATCTCCCTGCCTACCGGCACCATTCACACTGTAGCCGAGGCTAAGACCTGACCCAAGGTTACCACCGCTCGCAACACTTGAGGGGTAACCTGCAGCATCGCTAGACTGACTAACGCCAGCGCCAACCCCTTGGTGACTAACGCCACCTCCGTAGGCAGGACCATAGAAACTGGAACCACACTGATTGTTCCCAGTTCCATGAGTATCAGCAGCACTACCATGGAACCCGGGTGCTCCACCAGGGTAACCCAGCGGGACCTTGGCCTCCGCCAGGATGTCCAGGACCTGGTGGTGGAAGTGGAGCATGTCCATGACCACCGCTTCCGCTCCCACCTTGACCAGGTGGTCCGCCTTGCCCACCACCTCCCCCGGGAGGAGGAGGAGGGGGCGGTCCAGCTTGAGCGCGTTCATGCCGAATATTGCAGCGCGCACATCGCTCAAGCCAAAGTAACTGTGATTCTCACAGACGTGGGTCCCACAATCCGTGCAGAAATACATGGAGACCTCCTGAGCATTCTTGCGACATGCCCAGCATTTCATTTTCAAGAACTGACAATTGCAACAGTCCCCGTCGTCACCCCGGCAAAGCCTGCAGAACTCACGATTGCACGTAACACACGAGAATTCAGCGTTTGGGCGCCTACGGTCGTTGGGATCATCGAGGGCACAAATCTTTGGCGCATCTGGGCCACCGGTGCCGGGAGCTCCTCTTGCGGCCGGCGCCGAGGCCTGTCCACGATCCGACGGAGCTCCAGCGGTCCTCCACCTATTGCCGGGACTCTGGACGTCTGCACTAGCTCTACTCCCGGGAGTCTCCAGTCATCACCGAAACTCTGGATGTCGGCATGGGCCCTATTACCCCTACCACCTCCCGGATGACGGCCTGGGTTCGGAGAGACGTTCCCGCTATCGCGGATCGGCCTATCCAGACTTGGAGAGATGCTCCCGCTATCGCGGATCGGCCTCTCCACCCTTGATTGCCGACTTCGGACCTCAGACCCCCTATCGGGAACGGCAGCAGGCCTCGGGCTCCTATTCCTACCCACATCCCTATTGGGAGAAACAGAAATGTCCCCCCTTGCGCGCGCGCGGGGACCATCCCTCGCACGCCCTGGCGGTGAATGCGACCTGTCAGGCAACCCCCGAGCCCTCCTGCTTCTGCTGTCGGCCCTCTCCCTATCGGGATTTATGGGATGCCTGTCTGCACGAGAAGGATCGACCCTACCGGGCACACCTGGCAAAGCGTGATCAACCAAATCAACGCCTCCGCCCGGTCTCACCGGAAGGCCAGTACCCCGGCCATTACCTTCTCCGGGAGTGGGCGTCGGAGACCTGATTCTGTGTCCCTGCCCCGCGAAAGCGTCGTATCCGACGTTCCGTCTCTCTCTAGGCTGTGGGAGATTTGCCTGATTGTCCTGGGCACCCTGAATAATGACAGCAGCCTCATCAACATGACCTTCAATTTCATAGAGCTGAGCCATGATCCTGTTGTTCATTCCGTTAAGAGTACGAATGTTGCTCTCAACATTGTTGATCCTCCTCACCGAGGCTTCTAATGTGTTGCGGAATGATTCCAACTCGCGCCTAACGACAGACCGTGCTTGCTCAGTACTTACCGGAAGGCTACGAATCTGTCCCCTGATATCATCAAGAACTTGATCCAGAACTCCCGAGCTCGCGTCAGACCGCTCGACACGGGACTTCACGGTCTCAAACCTCGAAATGATATCGTCATGATCCCGACGTTGACGTTGAACTTCGCGAGCTAGGTCCTGAATCTTCCGATTGACCTCGTCAATGGCCTCATGCCAGTCCTGCGGGGAATCATGCCCTGATGGTCTATCGACCTCCTGGGGTCCCCTTCCGTGTTGCAGCCTCGACATCCGATTAGCAAGAAGGGCATGCTCTTCATTTATGCCTTCAATAGATTCGGAGGCCCACTTAGCAAACTTCTCGTGTTCAAGGAGAGCTTTCTCGATCTTCAGGTTTAACTCCCTGAAATTCGCGTCAACCACGCTGCTGCTGGCCCTATCGGACGGTTGCGCGACAGGATTCAAGTTCCATACACCTGCTGGCGTCCGCATCCCGACGGTTTTCTCTACCGAGAACATTCGTTTCTCAAGCTTGTCCAAGTCCTTGAGGATCTCGTCCTCGGAAGCAGCATGGCTCCTGCGGGTAGCCTCACTATTCTCGTGAATCTTCTGGCGAAGCTGATCTGTTGCGAGTTCACTGTCCTTAACAGATTCGTGAATCTCGTGGGAAAGCAGATTGATCCTCTGCTCGACAACTTCAGCCTGTTCATCAATGGCTTGCCTCACAATGGCTTTGCTGTCAGGAACAACTTCCCTTGCAAACCGTTGAACTATCATTCGCATCCTCCCGGCATCAGGTTGAGTCGCAACCTCAGCTGCCAGGCGATCGACCTTGTCTTTCGTCTGTCGGCTCTCGTCACTCCATTCCCTTCGCATGGAACTCACCTGACCGTTCAGCAACCTGATCTGGTCAGCAAAAATATGGAACGCTTTTGCGACTGAGCCAGAAACCTCACCTCTCTCGAGCATCTCCTGGATGTGCAAATCGAACACCTCCTTTGCCCTAGCGTCACCTGATTCACCGGAAGAATGAGACCTGAGTGCTGGAGGAGTCGATATCTCGATCCTCTCAGGAGCCCCACTAGCTCTAGCATGTCTTCTGGGGTCATCTACAGGACTATCACCAATCCCGGATGGCCTGCTAGGGGTAGACCCCCTTCTACGGCTATCGCCGGAACGGGGATCAATATTGGACGCACGAGACTCGGGAGTAGAGTGAATGTGAACATCAGCAGGATCAGGCATCTCCTCATCCTGCGGAGTTGAATCCATTGGTGAGGGGCTAGCCCTCCTCGCCTTTGACCTATCGGTCTCAATGGCCAGGGGTGACGGTCTCTTCGCAGAAGCACTACGTTCCCTGGCGGTCGAGCCCCACTGAGGTGTGAACTCGTTGCTAGACCTAAGTGTTTCAAGGTCACTAGTATCTCGCCCTAACGGGCTAGCGATCGACGGACGATCCTCGATTCCGAGTGCATCGGCAAGCCGGCCATCTCTTGCACCTTTCCCAACGACATCGGCAACCCGCTCAGTGATCCTCGGCGAACCAGTAACCCGGTTCTGATTCAACGGACCTCCAAAAGTAATGTTGGGAAAAGGGGGAACATTCGGGGTATCACCAATCGCCGGGGGACCTACCGGTCCCTCACGGTCATGGATAGCCTCCAATCCCCGAAGAACTTCCCGACTGTCCCTGGCGCTCTCTCTCTCGCTTCGGGCGTCCCTGTCAACACGAAGGTCCCTGGCGGCTCCACGAGAGAGGCTCCTGGGCCTCGCAGCATCACGGATCCTAGCATTTCGTCGTGATTGGTCCTCCTCCTCATCACGGCGATCCGCAAATGCGGCATACTCGTCATCATCACCAACCTCAAACTTGGCAGCGGCAGGGCTAGTCCTTGCAGCCGCACGGTTTCCTGCATTTCGGCGCGAATGGCTCTCCTCCTCATCCGCAAAATTGTAATCTTCGTCATCATAAGACTCAGATTTGGCAGTAATAGGGTTGGGCCTACCGGCATCAGATCCCTGCTTTGAGCTACTGCCCCATCCTGCGGTCGATTTCAACAGATCATCGTATCCGAAGTCTGAGAACTTCCGCTCCTCGTGCTCATCAAACTGACCTGGATTTTGAGAACCAGTGGATCGGCCCGGGATACCTCCCGGAGCCAGAACCATAGTCCCTGGTCCCTGCGGCCTATTCTCAAACTCATCCGAGACCTGCGACTCACCTGGAACAAGAGATCTCGGAGGTCGAATCGGCATGGCCTCCGGGTCATCCGAATGAGGGCGGGCCATGTCCATCGCCATGCTGATGAAGTCAAAACGTCCACGCCTGTGACCTGATTCAGAGCCACTCCTATCGGAGTAAACCCTTCGTGTCTGCTCGTCATCAGTGGCCTGGCGGAAAATACGATCGTCTCCATCGTCGGCGTACCTGCCACGGCCCCTGGGTGTATCCCTACCGGGATCTTCACCCCTGCGGTCCTGACCTGTCGAACCTGCTTCGAAATCCTCGTAGTCATAGTCCGGTAGGTCCTCACCTGAGCGGAGGCCACCTAGGATGGCCTCCTCATCCACGACGCTCCTTCGAGATCGTGGGGTCGACATAGAGCTTGTAGTTGATGGTCTCAAGCGCGTAGGAAAGTCCTACGGCTGATAACCTGTGATTCGGGCACGAGCCTGTGCCCAGGCAATGGGTTAGTTGGGGTAAACAAGCCACAAAAGAAAGGTTCCCCAAAAACAAACCAATCCCCGGTCCCAAAGATCAGGGTTTCCCACACACCAGAGAACAACAACCAAAGGAAACAAACCAAACAAGAAAAGGGTTAACCCGCAACCTTGGTCGACAACAGGCCGCACGACTGGTCCCTACCAACCTGGCGGCGGCCCGAGGTCTCTTTCTCCCCCGAGATGCCGTCGGTCGACGCAGGGGTTCGGCGACGCCCATTCGAGGCGCGACGGAACCCAAAACTTGAGCCAAAACACCACAGGTCGGTCACTAACGCGACGTCCCTGATGATGATATGAACCATGGCTAATCACAGAAAGAAAAGAACGAATGGAGAAGGTAACGTAAAGCCGGGGACAATGGAAACATGGAAAAGGAGAAGAAGGAAAGAAAGGAAGGATCGAACAACGCAATTCAAGGGGAACACAAAGCAACAAACAGAGGAAGAAGGAAGAAAGCTAAAGGAGGCGGACAAGGAGCAGGAGAGACACAAGGCCAACAAGCGCAAAACACCAAGGGAGAGCAGGGAAGCGCAAGAAGGCACGGTGGCCAGAAGGGCAGGGCAAGGGAGGAAGGAGAAAGAAAAAGAGGAATAAGTTAAGCTGGAGCCGCAAATGACAGAAAGAGCCAGGAGAGACATTTGCGCAGCTCTTAGCTCTTAGTGCGCGCCTGCCGCAGCTGTGGGGCGCTCTTGGCAGCCGCCAGCTGTGCCCTGGCCTCCCCAGTCCCAGGCCAAACCGGTATTCAGGCTGTGTGCCGAGGGTCATTTTGTTCCAAGGGACTGGTGTGGAGAGGAGCACGCTGCGTTATTTTTGGGGGAGCGCTCTTGCGCGGTCAACAAGAACCTGTCTGATTGGCTGATGCCCTGGTCTCCTTGTGCTATCAGGTGAGAAGCTGGCAAGGACATGCTGTCAGGCCTAGGAGGCTGCTTGGCAGCGAGGCTCACAAATCCGCTTTTCCGTCTTTTCAGTGCGCCCCCCCTCCGTTGCCGCGATCTGATCAGCCAAAACTTGAAAGCGCTTCCTCCCGGCCCGCTGACCGCCAGCCTGGGCAGCGGGGTCTGGGGCGCCGCCGCCACCGCCGCCACCGCCGCCGCCGCCGTGTCTCTCAATGGCTGAGTTCATGGCCTGACCAAGCAAAAGCTGGACACCCAAGGTGAAGGGTGCGATTCAAGCACTGATCAAGCTCAGAAGGCTCAGAATGTTTTCTGTTTCATCATTTTGTGATGCCTTCTCCAGTCGCCGCTTCTCCAGCGGCTTCAATCCAAGCTCGACGGCAAAGTCGTCGAACACCTCGCAAGTCGTTGACCCCCTTTCCCCTCCCTGTGACCAATCTGCCTGACTGTAAAGAGAGGGTTGAATTCTTCAAGAATGAGTTTGGGATGTTCATACACTCCAGCTCCCAGTGAGTGCATCAACGCTGGCCGCCCACTAACCACGCCTCCAAACAAGCTGCGACAGTCAGCGACCGTCTTCCAGCAAGTTCCAGTGTTTGTTATCAAAAGTGAAATTTCCCCCCTACCGAACAGAGAGATCGATGATGTCAACGAACTGCCCTCAGTTCGGCCTCCATGACCTCGTGCAGGCTGGCAGCTCCCTGGCTCTCACACCAAGCGACCGCCTGGCGAGCGAGCGGCACACGCAGGGCTCCCAGTGGCTCCCAGTCCCACGGATTCGAGCCATGGGCCCCAAGGCTCCCGGAATCTTCCGCGGAGATTCGGCCTGGTTCTGCGTCTCCCGCTTCATGCTCGCCACTGCGAGCGCCTGCCAACCCTTGCATAGGCATTGCCCTATCTGCTTGGGCGCGTAAGAAAGCAATTGCCAAGCAAATTTGTTCGGAGACAGGTGTCATTGCTTGCTGGGAGTCCGTCTTTGTTATTTGTGAGAGCGGTCGAGTTCTTAAAAGTTGCTTGCGAGCAACATGAAAGGCTTTCCAGTTTATATGGGAGATTCCTTTCAGAAGGTTCTAATCACCATCCCAGAATAGCTGAGACGTACCAGCTGAGTTCAAGATGATGGAAATGTGTACTCTGTCGCGTCTTGTGCTGCACACTGTTGAGAAGCTCCAGACGTTTTTGCTCATCCAACTGCGCGCGCAAAGAAAGGTTTCTTGGCGCGCACAAAAAAATGGCGCGGCATTCGTGGCTGAACCCATGGGCTCGTCGAAATCTTCGAATGCGATGGACCGTCCGCCTCCTTGAGGCTCTCCGCAAAGCCGAGCCCGTCCTTAAGGCAAACACGGAGAGATCCCTTCTGTTGAACTAATCTGGTGAAACGTGAGGTCTGTCCCTTTCCTAGACGACTTGGAGCTATTGGGGAACGACCTGGGCCTTGGATGCTTCATCTCTGATCCACACCTGTTGAATGCTTCTCATTCTGGGAACTCCCCATTCCATCTGCTAGAATACCCCTCACAACATGACATGCTCTCCCACGGTGATGACAAATAGTGGTAAGGTGCCGCTGCACAGAAATCATTAAAAGCCCTGTCTAGTTTCCAAGCTGAAAACAACAGAGACCTCACGGCCTAGATCTATATGTCCGCCTCGCACCGGCACTTTTCAAACATGGCCACTTTGCGGTCATGCAACAATTGATATGTGCAAGCATCTTGGATGCTGCAACTATGCCTTTACACGGCCCTGAGCCTCACATGCAAAACGTGCGCCTCGTAGTTTTGCTGAGCGCTCCATGTGGGTTCTAGTCTGCCAAGGTTTCATGGAGCATCCATTCATGTCACTGGACCCATGTAGGCAAAGAGCGTTCACCGTTCACCTCACATGGGTGCCACGGCTTCAGCCAGCACCCATGGCTGGGAACGAATCAAGAGGACAGGTGCCTCAAGGTCAACTTTGCAAACGACAGATCTACAAAAAGCTCAAGATATCGGCACCGAATGCTCTGACGGCACCGCAGCGAAACCTGGCTAAGCATCAGATGATCAAGGTCAAACAAACCGTTTGAAAAACTATATCTCACCAAGCTGTACACATGTGTGTATGTATGTGCAACTAGCCTAATGTACGCAAGTGACAGCTAGGGCGCACAAGCTCCAGAAAAAGAAAAGTATTAACTTCCAACAAAGCCAGACTGAATCACGCCAGGCCAGGATGCAAATTGCAGCGATCTCTGTGCGGTCTTGCAAACCAAGCTCAAGCCTCTCTGGCTGTTGTACTCGTCCACACACAACACGATGTTGTCTTCCGAGTCTAGGCGAGCGCACTTTGGAAATGGCATTACATTTGTGCCTCACATTGCTCCAGCAATGAGACAAATTCAGCTTCGCGCCTTGCTCGCTTTCGAGCTCTGCGTTGTCCAGCTTGTGCAGTAATGTCTCCAATTCGGAGGTGAACACTGCCTGCAACATTTCAAGGTGCCGGGCAGCTTGCGGCGTGGTTGGATTCTTTGCTTTGCACAACTCTCGGAAGCCCGGAAGCTGGCAAAAAAAAAATAAGGGAGTTGTGGGAAGGGAAAAGTGGAGTGGTCATGGGGTGGCCAGAGCCGCGCCTGCGATTTTCTTACGGGGGTGAAACAAGGAATGTCTGCCCAAACCTTCGCCAAACGGCCCCGTGCCTGCATGGTTCGCAGAGCCTCCGAGATGTTGCGCCGCAGGAAGTGGTTCATTGCTTGGAAGCCACCTGGCATCTTGGACACCAGCTCGCCAATCATCTCCTTGTCCTATCACGGCACAGTTGGCGAGAAGTCGCTTTCAGAGATCCTTGAGTCTTGCAAACACCATGCATGATGGTGCCCAACAACGCTCAAACGGCTCGAGCCCATCCCTCGCAGCTCCTTCTGCACCTCAGGGCATGTTCCCCATCCACCGACCCCATGGACCCCGCCGAGTTGGGCTCCCGGCCGAAGCGGTGGCGTTCTCAAGGCGCAGACTCGCTAGTCGCTCTGCAATGCGCATAGGCAGGTCAACTCCCGACTTGCCTAACGGCGTATCAAGACGGCGTCTTTTGCCACACGCAAACGACTTGGACGCCTGCCGTTTTGCAGGACGCCTGTGATGGTGCAGAGGTAGAGGCCTCTAAAGTTCTCGCGGGTCGTCCTGCCACCAAGTGTGCAAGCATCTGCCGCGTGATTCGGCCCAGCTGTCCAGCTGGCTGCGTGAATGAACAACGGTTTTTCGGTAAACCCTTGCCAAAACAAAGAAAAAGCCATACATAGGCGGAGTTTGTTGACCAAAAAAAGCACGAGGTGCCTGATGATCTTCGTCTGCAACACCTCAAAGAGGCACCAGGCACGCGTAAGAGGTAGAGCCTGCGACCAACATAAAGGGCGCCGCAGCTTTGCAAAACATGCTGAACGCATCTGCAAGTCTCTGTGCTAGGGGGTCCCCTGTGCGATGACGGCACCTCATCATCGAGGATCATGGCGGTGCCAACCTACAGGCGGAAACCCAAACAGCGGCCCCCCACATGACAACCGCCGACTAAGGTGCAAGCACAGCGAGGGCCTAAGTCAAACAGGCCAAGGAGTTGCGCGACAGAGATGTGCCGGTCAGATTGTTGAACAATCCAATTTAATGGCCATCCACCAAGGTCGCGACTCTTCAATGCTAGGAAGAAAGATGATTCCTCCCTGAGAGACAAAGCAATTAAAACTTGCATGTTGCACAATCTGCAAAACCTCTGGAAATGGCACGGGTCGCTATCTCCGCCCAGGTGCCAGCCAGCGCCAAGCTCCTCCTCTATCTGCCACTGGTTGTTGCCTCTTCAGCGAGTGATGCCCCACATCTCTGGCCTTGCACTGAGAAGTGGGCTGAAGCTGCAAATCCAGTAGGCCACGTCCGGAGGGGTTGCAGGTGGCCTCAAAGCCGAGTTCCGCCGGGCGCCTGATCCTTCTCGGAATCCGAGTGCCAGACTCCACCACCGCCTCAGAGTGCTTCTGGAGGGTGGAGACAAAGTGCCGAAACGAGGTGCCCCAGTAGTGAGACACAAACCTCAAGCAACGCACAGGACTTGCAGCTACAGAATCCGCAGTGTCACAGAATTTGCAGTGTGAGCCGGGTAAACCAAAGGCCCTCAGCTTGTTTCAGCCTCTTTTGGGCACCTTTCTAGATGGAAGCCAGGTCTTTCGGCCAAGCGGCCAGTCCACCATTTGTGGACCGACGCATTCAGCATAGGACAAGCGATGCGTGCGTGTCCTGCCAGCAATGCCCTAAGGCCAAAACGGCCTTCCCGTCAACTGAGGCAAGGTCACTGGCTTGATGATGTTGGTGGCAACCTTCAGCCGACCGGTCTGTTTTGAGCGCAGCATTGGATCTTTACCGTTTACTCGACTTGATAAGCTGTGTGGTTGCGCACTGCAGCCAGGGATCGTAATACATATCGCGATGCCGAATACCTCACATCTTCGTTCCAAGGGCAGTTCCGGGGCAGCCAGGTGTGCTCGACTTGCCAAGCAGCGGTCATTAAACGCATCTGCCACGTCCACAAGGTGTCCAGCTTTAATTGCTCTTTCTGGGCCTGCCATGAAGCTTTGTCAACTGCTTGAAACTTACGAGCTCTGCACCAGCTCACACTGCTAGCTGCACGAGCATGCAGTCCTGGCCTTTCGGTGTCCTGATTGGTGCTGGATTTGTGCCTCATTTTGCAACCATACAACAAGGCAAATATGGTGATGATGGCCGTCGTGGAGCCAGTACCAGCATTGCACAAAGCAGTGAGAAACAGTACACAAAAAGAAAAGCATGACAGCACCATCCAGAATCCCATTGTGGTCGGCACAAACGCCATCACTATGACTCACGCCCAGCCGCGGAGTAGATTCTTGCAGTGACGTCTCAGCTTGCGCTGCATCGGTGATAATTCACGGCGGCTGGCTGCAGTGCCGTGAAAAAGCACAGCTATCCTTGGTGGGTGTGGCATTCTGTGGTTTCCCAAATGTGAAGAAACCTACACGAGGGCAGTGTGAATGCATGAACCTTCCTCAGCAGTGGAAGACAAACATTGGCAACCAGCAGGGAAGCCAGGCTGCGTCAGGCTTGCAAGGCAACAAACAAATAAAATTATTGGCGGCCATGATGTTGGTTTCATGCACACAAAATGGACTCGTGAGCCGCCAAAACCAAGAAGCAGTGCGGCGATCAACGCAGAGACCAGATACACCTTGGCTCCGGCTCTGGCAAGAGCCAGATGCGGGCAAGCTCGCTCTTGAATATGTCCATAGAGCGGCCGTACCGTGCTGCTCAGCCAAGCAACCCATTTGGCCCCCTCGGGGGAGGTGATCATGACAATGAATGGCAGGAAAGCCAGCACCCCGGCAAAGACCAACAGCCAACCAAGAGACACCACCGTGCCTCGGGACGATCCAAGCTTGGGGGCTTGCCAGCCAAGCACGCGGCCCGTGTTGGAAAAGCCACAGACTTCTGCCTTCCTTTTCTGCCAGGTCTCAAGGAAACAAACATGATCCCCTGATGGCACAAACTTGTACAATCGAATATCCCTGAGTTGCCAAATTTCATGGGTCAGGTCAGTTCGGATTTATGTGTTCTAAGGTCCTAAAAACGAATAAGGGTGTTTTACTCAAACTTAAGGGTTTGCCAAAACCAAAAAGGAAACAAGGATTTTGCAGCAAACCTCAAAGTGTACTATTGATGCCAGTTTCCTCAAAACAAGAATCAAGCATCTTGTTTCCCAGGGGACCCCGCCGCTTCTGCGTAAGACAGCTTGACGCGCGTGCTGAAAGGGTTGGCGGGTCGTCTAAACAGAAATGAGTCTTGGCCGCCAAGAGGAAAGGGCTTGAACTGTTTTTTGGGAATAACTTAACTATGAAACCGCCTCTTCTGCACGAGCAAAATGCGTTGTTCTTGAGCCCAAATCCTGCTCTCATTTTGACTAGATTCGGCGCTTGCAATTGCAAGTGTTCACAAAGAAAGCAGTGACCTGCAGCGAACTCCGAAAGAACTCCGAACTCCGAACGAACTCCGCGCAAACTCTGGACAAACTCCGGACAAACTCCGAGCGAACTTTGTCATTGGTTGATTTCCGAACAAACCCCCGAGCCAACTTGGCTGAGCCAACTCCGAACACACTTTGGCCATAAGTATGTGTTTGAGCCTAAGTATTTTGGTGGTCAAACTGGTTTTTGCTTTTTTCGGGCTTACCAAAAGAGGCCAAGTGATTACAGGGGCCAGTTTCAACAAGTGGCCTGGGAAGGCGTTCAGGGCCGGATTTGTAGGACTTGAGCGCTGCAGAGGGCTAAAATCGCTACCGGGGTGATCACACAGCTTGGTTGGCGCTGAGGCTCGCTGTTGAAGCTGAAACAAAGCTTAATCTTTAAATATATATATATATATATTTATTTATTTGTGTTTGCTTTTTTTTAAGCGATTAAGTTCAACACCGGTGTTGAACTTAAGGGTTTGCCCGGATTTTGTAAGGGCTTGCCCGATTTTGGTCGTATGAAATAACTGTTTGTTTGCATGAAAAACTTGGATTAAGCATGTGTCAATTTGTGTTTTCCTGAATTTGTACGAAAAACACATCAAAAAGCCGTAATTCTAGTGTTTTTGTACGACCAACACCAAAAAAATTAAGCTCCAGGGAAAAAACGTAAGGCCAAAGTTCGTTCGGAGTTCGTTCGGAGTTCGTCCGGGGCGAGACCTTGAAAAATAAGAAAGACATATAAAAAAGATGGCAAAAAAAAAACAAAACAAACTGAAAGCCAAAACACAAAAATCAGCACCCCAAAGAAAAATATGGCCAAAGTTTGTTTGGCGCTTGTCCGGGAAGTAAATCCAGCCCCGAACATGCATAACAGGAAAATCAAGTGACCAAAGAACTAATTTCAACAAGTGGCCTGAGAACATGTTTGTTTGCCTCAAAAACCGCCTTCCCAGGCCACTTGTTGAAACTGGCCCCTGCAATCCCTTTGCCTCTTCTGGTAAGCTCGAAAAAAGCAAAAAACAGTTTCGTGGCCCCAACCCCAAAAATGTGCCCATGCAGGATTTGTTGCAGGTCACTGCTTTCTTTGTGAACACTTGCAATTGCAAGCCCAGAATCTAGCAAAAAATGCGAGCAGGATTTGGGCTCAAGAACAACGCATTTCGCTCGTGCAGAAGAGGCGGTTTCATAGTTAAGCTATTCCCGAAAAACAGTTCAAGCCCTTTCCTCTTGGCGGCCAGGACTCATTTCTGTTTAGACGACCCCAAACCCCTTTCAGCAGGCGCGTCAAGCTGTCCTACCCTTAAGTTGTTTTTCCCGGCGAACTGAATGAGCCATGAAATTTGGCACCCTGAGTTCTTGCACGCGCCTGGCACAGAAGCCGCAAAGAGCGTCAAAGGGAATGGGATGCGAATGATGCCCTTGGAAGTCTCGATGGCCCGCGTGTTTGGCATGCCATCCTCTCAGGGAGCACAAACAAAAACATACGCGGCAAACACTGCGCTGCGCAAGCACGACCCCACATTTCCAGCTGGTAAGCTGGCATTGTTCAAGAAACAACATGTGCATAAAGTCATATCATATCTATATAATACATGTTGCCTCCCCCCCTTCCGCACATGAGGGCCGGAGCCCCTGCTTGCAATGCTGTGTTGTTTGATGGAAATCACTTATAGTTGTAGGGAAAAATGTTCTAACAATCACAAAGTCCACGGAAGTTCACCAAAAGTCACCAAAAGTCGCTACTGGTTGACAAATCTATTCCGAAATCAGTGTGAATTCTAGTTTTACACTTACAAACCACCAAGAGGCCCGCCTTTTTCCCAAGACCCATGCATGCGCGCCCCTAGGACGCTTGACAGTCGGTGTAAATGGAATGCAACCCCGCTCACACAAGGCGATCACGGAAATGAACGTCCGAGCGAAAGTTTCTGAACAGGTAGGGAGTTGGGACGAAAGGGGCAGGCTTAGGGAGCGATCGCCAACCGCTTTAC